AATATATACGGTAGATCTGTCCCCTATATGGCACATGATTACGCCATCGAGTTCACCATCATTGCAGATCATGAATACTTGTCGGCGAAAAGATTTAACATGTTTCAATGTCGGTTGTTTGCAGCCCAAAGGGATTGACCGTGATAGCACTAACAGTGCGACCATAATGTGACAGTTCAGTTTTCAGTAAATCATTCGGTAGAAACGGAGGAACTCCCGATAACACAACTTTTGTTGCTGGCTTAACCAGGGGCTCCACATATACACTAGAATGCCCAATAGCAAAACCAGTAGAGCACACCTTTTCAACTGCTTTCACAGTGTCAAGAAAAACAACGACTCTGCTACTTACTCGAGGTGCAAGCGTGTTTGCAATTGCCTGTACATAAGCTTCAATGTCCACACCATGAAGAGATTCGCATTTGATCCCGTGATTAGGTGTTAATCCAGTAAACAAGTTATCACCATTATCAGAAGACAACATGGCGGCCGCCATATTGGAAATCAGCTGTTCGCGGACCTGAAAAGGTCCACGAGATAAGAAACGACTATAATACGTCAATAAATGATCTGTAAACTCCAAAAACGTACCAAAATGTTCGGTTAATGTTCACGGATATGGTAGTTCACAGATTTGAATCCAAAGGTGCAGCAAAAGCGCGAAAGAAACAATTTTTGTAGGAGCTCTTCTCAGTACATGTACATACATACACCCATACATACATACATACATACATACATACAGTAATCGTATATATTGTGTTCTTTGTTCATATATGAATCGGCCTTTGTCACTGTAGAAGTAAAGCCACGTACGTAAAAACAATATGTATAACCATACGAATCGTCACGTTGTGCCATGATAGTTTATGTCCTGAGGTGGATAATGTCACGATGAAACTCTTATGGAGCATACTATGTTCCCTGTTCATAAATAAGGCATTTCACATTATCCTAATGTCTGGCAAAAGCAGTCTGTTTCAAACACGTAATTTATTTTCAAATCGTACCATTTGTACAGAATATAAGTGTATACAAAGATGTTACTAACATTTAAAATATCGTCATAATCTAATCGTGTGTTCTTTCTAATATATGCACGTTGCTAAAAGAAAACACTTGAATTCATACATAACGTATGCCGAATCCCTTTTCATTTGTCATTAATTGTTGATCTATCTCTTGTAGGAGTGTACATGTTGAGCCAGGTAGAATCAAAGGAAAAGAGAAGTATCCTGCAATTACCCATAGCTATGAGGCTTTCAATGTACCAGGATTATTCTTTACTGGCACCAACACTCATTCTTTGGACCATAAAAAATCAGCTGGTGGATTTATACATGGTTTCAGATATACAGGTCAGATATATTGTTCTTTCTATAATATTATTTTTACCATGTGAACATACGATAAGATTCATTGATACAATTCAATTTAAATACGAGAATTATAAACGATTAATCTTTTTAACAGCTCGGGTGCTTAGCAGAATATTGGAGTTTCGGAATCACAATGTCTCTTGGCCATCTGTTACACAACCTACAACAGAACTATTAAATCACATCGTTAAACGCTTCAATGAAGCTTCTGGGACATATCAGATGTATGGTGTTCTCGGCGATATTGTCATGTTCTCGAGGTAAGTTAAAATGTAGTTTATATATATATATATATATATGGATTAGTTTTTTTGTTCATTTTGTTCAAACTAAAAATATTCTTGATCAATGTGTTAAAATGCGCAAAAAATTGCTACAACTATATTTTGACGACTAAGTTTAAATTTTTTGTACGATAATAAAGTCAGAAATGTGAATTCTCAGAGAGTACTAAACTAGAGGAACAATGATATACAGTTATCAGAATGGACCTACTTTACATTAATAAAATAAAAAAACACACTAAATTGTGCAAAAAACAATTGCCGAGATAAAAGTACATTCCCACCCATTTAACAAATATTCGAGTATATGAAGCAATGTCAGGATATATAGTGAACGTTTATGGCAATTTTAATGGCTGTTTATCGAAAGCTATTTTCAATAGTTACTCAGGACAGGGAATGCCTGATATTATTTACTATTATATTTAGTCACTGTTTTTGTTAAACAATCATATTTTAAGAAAATCAAATCTTCTTTCATTTTTAGGATTGTGTTCTCTAGAAAACCTGAAACTTATTTAATTGTTCAAAAAGAGATTTTTGTATTTAATGTGTAACCGTATAATTCAAACATAATAAGGTGGATGCAGCTCATCTCGAAATTCGAGTAATATTCTGCCTTTGTAAACTTATACATGTAGTAACATGCAATATGTGTGTCTTAGGCGCTATATACTGCATTTTATAGATTATTGCCAAGCAAAAAACACTATGAAAATAAGTTTCAGAAAACTATGTGCAGTTTTGCTGAACAGAATTACTACACAAGATTAAAAGGACGGAGGTCGTCAGGCAGCGCGTGATCGAATGTTGCGTAAACAACCGCGCTGACGTTTGGAACCCATATTGAACATTGTGTGGTCACTCTTGTAATATCTATTATGGATTATATTTGTATGTAGAAATCGTACAGTTTACACGTATATTGAGGAATTTCCAGTAAACCTACTCGACCAATTACGTACGAAGACTGGTCATGACACAGAGGAGGTTTTGGTTATTATTATGCAGTATGGGAAAAGACGGTTTTGTAAGTATTGTTCCCGACTTTCAAGATAGGCTCTGTTTTTGTCAAAATTAACGTTGCAATTGAATATATTCAGTTATTTTAACACGAAAATATCTTTTTGGGGAAATATAACAAAATATAGCTTAGAAAATCGCAAATTATAAATTCAAAACATACCGAGATGTCTAAACATGAATTACAGAGCAACCAGAAGCTGACCACTTATTATGCTCAGCTTGTTGTACCGATTTATTACATCCTACTCCCTTTAATTGCCTTTCCGTCTAAACTAAAATTAACTATAATGAGAGATTCAACAATAGTTTATCTAGTTGGCAGTGCACCATACACTATTTTAAAAAATGGCTGTGGACCCAATGTGTTTTTACTATTGGATTTAATTGTGTTGTGGTTTGTAATACATATGTTGACTTTTTTGGAATAATACGTTAGAATATACAGATTGTGTTAAATAATGTCTATATATTGTATTGTTTGTACTGATAGTCAAGAAGTTTACTGGTATTCCAGGGAAAGCTCATCTTTCGTATTTTCTCCACCCGGTTTTATACTACTATGATGAATTGCCTTCAAGTAAGAATCTACTACTTTCTACACACGTATAATATCAGTGATCACCGAAACACTTAATTGTAATTTGCACAGTTAATTAATAATATGTACAGAACTTGTCTGTTTTATCGTTTTCAGAATATTTAATACGCATCATTTAAGCGCGCAGGCCCCATTTTTTGTCTAACAGGATCAAAATGAAGCACAGCAAATGAAACAAAAGTTTCGGTCTAATATATTCTCTCATATTAATGAGATTGCTTTAAATCCTACACTGTCAAATAGTTAGGCAATTGTACTAAACAACATATATGAGAAATAAAAATACCATAATTGAAAAGTAGAAACATGATAAACTATGTACCATTATATATTATCCTACTCGTTAATGACAAAACATTACTAACGTCACAAAATTGCATTGACCATTACAAATTGAATTTAGGTGAATTTGGATGCTTTTCGATCTGCCATAAAACAAGTCTCGCAGTTCTTTGGCTTTCATAAGATCTCGGCGACCATTTATACTAGTCAGTTTTACCATTCCCATTGTAACTTTTGCTTCTTCGTTTCTTGAATGCATACATTTATATATGTGATGTTAACATATGAACAGAAAAACGAATTATGCGCTATGAAAAATAGTTGCACTTTTCAAAATTGCTTACTGTGTTCATGATATTTATCGAACAGGAGGTGCAATGAGAAACCTTACAGAAGGAAGTGTATTACCAAGACCAATGAAAGTACATCACACCGTTGAAGACTTTTTAACAGATTTCACTGCACCAAATAGGTAATAAAACCATCAATATATACTATTGCGATTGTACCTTACTGCCATACACGACCATGCACAAACTTTTTGAGATAAACGTTAGTGTGATAGAAAAATAAAACAGAGCCCATTCAATTATGACAAATTTCCCCGTTGTTTTTGAAACTCAGGATAATGGAAAACGCTACGTGATAACCAAAAAACAGGTGTACAGGTGTTTCCTAGTTTCATAGTAGGCATTTACTCACACGATAATGTCCATTAGTTTATTATATACACTTTTAGTTATATTTCCATCGTATTATATCACGGTACTCTGTATTGCAATACATTTACCAGACATAA